TCTACGGATGAAATGTTGTGCTAAGCTCCACGCGGGTCCCTAACTCACCCTAAACAGCTCTCCAAAAATGAGAAGTGAACTGAGGGCCTTTATCTGATATGATAAAAACAGGCACACCATGTAACTGGACTATCTACCGGATGTAAATTTGAGCCAGTCACTCCGAAGTGTAAATAGTCACAGCCGGTATAAAGTGTGCCGACTTGGTCAACCTATCCACGATGACCCACACCGCATCAAACTTCTGCAAGGTCCGGGGCAAGCCAACTACGAAATCCATAGTAATTCACTCCCACTTCCACTCTGGTATAGGCATCTGCTGAAGTAGGCCACCCGACCTCTGGTGCTCGTACTTGGCCTGCTGACAATTCAAACACCTAGCCACATACTCCACTATGTCTTTCTTCATCCTCTGCCACCAATAATGCTACCTTAAGTCACGATACATCTTCATAGCACCCAGATGAATGGAATACCGCAAACTGTGTGCCTCCTCTAATATCCTCTCCCTCAAACCATCAACCGTAGGAACACATAGGCAGCCTTGGAGTCGCAAAACACCATCCTCGCCAATAGAAACCTCCTTGGCACTACCCTGAAGCATCGTCTCTCTAAGATCTGCCAAATATGGATTATCAAACTGTCGGGCCTTGATCTGGCCCAATAATGAAGACTGAGCAACAACGCACACAAGAACTTGGCTAGGCTCTGAAATATCCAACCTCACAAGCCTATTAGCCAAAGATTGGACGTCCAAAGCTAGTGGCCTCTCCTCTTCTAGAATGAATGCCAAGCTAACCATACTCTCTGCTTTCCTGCTTAAGGCATCTGCGACCACATTTGCCTTGTCCGGGTGATAAAGAATGGTGATGTCATAATCCTTTAGCAACTCAATCCATCTACGCTGCCTCAAATTAAGATCCCTCTACTTGAACAGGTGTTGTAACCTGCAATGATCAGTATAAACCTCACATGATACCCCATACAGATAATGCCTCCATATCTTAAGAGCATGAACAATAGCGACCAACTTCAGATCGTGCAAAGGATAATTCTTCTCATGGATCTTCAGCTGACGCGAAGCATATACAATAACTCGCCCCTCCTACATCAAAACGCATCCCAATCCAACGTGCGAAGCATCGCAATATACCGTATACATCCCTGAACCGGAAGGAAACACAAGAACTGGTGTTGTAGTCAAGGCCGTCTTGAGCTTCTGAAAGCTTGCCTCACAATCATCGGACCAATGGAAAGGAGCACCCTTCTGGGTCAATCTAGTTAGAGGTGATGCAATAGATGACAAGCCCTACAAGAATCGTCTGTAATAACCTGCTAACCCCAGGAAACTCCGGATCTCGGTCACTGAAATAGGACGTGGCCAACACTGAACTGCCTCAATCATCTTGGGATCCACCTTAATACCCTCTTCTAACACAACATGCCCCAAGAATGCCACTGACTCTAGCTAAAACTCATACTTGGAGAACTTAGCATATAGCTTCTGCTCTCACAATGTCTGAAGCACCACTCTCAAATGTTGCTCGTGCTCCCCCAGGCTACGAGGGTATATCAAGATGTCATCAATGAAGACGATGACAAAGGAATCAATATAAGGCCTGAACACTCTATTCATCAAGTCCATAAATGTTGTTGGGGAATTAGTCAGGCCAAAGGACATCACCAGAAACTCATAATGGCCATATCTACTTTTGAATGCAGTCTTTGGATCATCCGAGCCCGGAATTTTCAATTGATGATAACCCGACCTCAAGTCGATCTTAGAGAACACCCTAGTACCCTCCAACCGATCGAATAAATCATCAATACGAGGCAATGGGTAATCGTTCTTGATGGTGACTTTGTTCAACTGGCGGTAATCAATGCACATCCGCATAGTCTCATCCTTCTTCTTCACAAATAACACTGGTGCACCCCAAGGTGATACACTAGGCCTAACAAACTTCTTTGCTAACAACTCCTCAAGCTGCTCCTTCAACTTCTTCAACTCCTTAAGAGCCATACGGTACTGTGGAATAGATATAGGCTAGGTGACTGGAGCCAAATCAATACATAAATCAATATCATGATCTGGTGGCATGCCATGTAGATCAAAAGGAAACACATTGGGGAACTCTCGATCTATTGGAACTGAATCAATCATTAGAGACTCTATGGTGGTGTCTCGAACATAAGCCAAATAAGCCAAGTACCCCTTCTCGACCATTTGCCGAGCCTTCAGGAAAGAGATAACCCGTCTAGACGTATCAACCGTGGAACCCTTCCACGCCAACCCTAGCAACTCTGGCATCGCTAAAGTAACAATCTTGGCATGGCAATCTAGGATGGCGTGATATGGAGATAACCAATCTATGCCCAGAATGACCTCAAAATCGATCATATGAAGCAACAAGAGATCCGCTCTAGTCTTGAAACCACAGAAGGTGACCATACAGGATCGGTAGATCCGATCCACAACCACGGAATCGCCCACAAGAGTGGACACATGAACATGAGTGCCCAAAGACTCAGGAGAAATAACCAGGATGCGAGCAAACAGAGATGATATATATGAATAAGTAGACCTTGGATCAAATAACACCAAAACATCCCTAACGCAGACAGAAATGATACCTGTGATGACGGCATCGGAGGCCAATGTATCTAGCCTAGCCGGAACGACATAAAATCTGGCTGGAATGCCGGCTGGCTGGCCTCTACCTGACTGAGTAGTGGCTGGCTGACCTCTCCCTTGCCTGGTCTCCTCCTATAAGACGACCCCTACTAGTCTACCCTCCACCTCTAGGTGGCAGAGTAGCCGGTGCAGAAATCATAGGCTGCTGACCCTGATGTACTGCCTTGCCCCGAAGCCTGGGGTAGTATCTCCTAATATAACCAAGGTCTCCGGCGGTGCGGCAGCCTGCTGCCGTGATGGCTGACCTTGATGGCCTGTAGACCCACTGGAAGAAGCCTAGATAGCCGGTGGACGATATGAACTCTCCGACATAGTACTAAATAAGAATAAAAAGAACCCTGAGGACCTGAATACCCACCGGATGAACCCTGAATAGCTGGTAAGCAATAAGAACTCTCTGGCATGGCGCTGAAATAGGGGCGCGCCAGAGCACCCCGAGTAGGTGACGGTGCAGAATATGGGGGCCTGCTGGGCTGACCCCTCCCAAACTGACCTCTATCCCTAGCCGGGGCACCTCTGAACTCTCCTAAGAATCTAGACCTCTTGTCCTGCTGCATCTACTCTCTACCCATCAGATGGTAGCCCTCAATCCTCCGAGCAATTTCCACCACTAGCTGATAAAGAGTCCCTATCTCCATCTCTCGGGCCATGTTGGCCCTAATTCCAGAATGCAACCCTGCAACGAACCTCTACACCCTCTCTGCGTCAGTAGGAAGTATCATCAATACATGGCAGGATAACTCAGAAAACCTCTCCTCATAGTCGGTCACCGACATCTGACCATGCTCCAGCTGCTCGAACTGATATCATAGCTCTTCCCTCTCAGAAGGTGGAATATACCTGTCCAGGAATAACTGTGTGAATTGACTCCAAGTGATGGGAGGAGAACCTGCTGGCCTGCCAAAAACATAGGACTACCACCATCTACGGGCCCTGCCCTCAAGCTGAAAAGTAGTGAAGTCAACCCCTGCGACTCCAATATCCTCATGTTGTTCAGTCTATCCCTGCACCTATTTATGAAGTCCTGGGAATCCTCATGGCATTCACCCCCCGAAGATAGGAGGGTGAAGTCTAGTCCATATGTCCAATAACTTATGTGGGTCACAGTCCATAGTTGGGCTGGGCTAGGGTGCTACTGTAGCAACTGGCTGGGCCCCATCTACGGGTAGTGCACCCGGAGTTTGATACAATACAGTTGCATGTCCAAGACCTGAGTAGTAGAGGTTTGTGCTTCCCCTCCTACCTGTGATGTAGCTGGATCCGCTGGAAATAAACCAACCTGAGTCATGGAATCCATGAAATGCAGCATATGGCCCATGACCTCTTGGAAGTTCGGTGCCGTCATAAAGTTCGTCGGGGTAGGCTCAACTGCGGGCACCTTGCCCTATTCCTCGATGATAGGATCTCCTGTAGGATTTGCTGGTGGTACTACTGGGATAACTCTGGGATGCCCTCATCCCCTACCTCGGGCCAGTGCCCTCCCCCGGCCTCTACCTTGGCCTCTAGCAATAGGGGAGCAGCTCTTCCCAGGTTTGGAACATCAGCCGTGCGTGTCCTCACCATCTGTAAGAGAATAGAAGAGGGAAATTTAGTAGACCAACCACTGCACGATAGGAAATGAATAAAGAGTAGTTTTCATAAGACCCTATAGCCTCTCGAAGATAGGTACAAACATCTCAGTACCGATCCGCAAGACTCTATTCGGTTTGCCTATGACTTGTGAGACCTACGTAATCCTAGTGCTCTGATACCATGTTGTCACGACACATTTTCCAAATTGATCGTGATGGCACCCAACACCATTGTCAGGCAAGCCGATGCGGAAATATAATTAAGTTCTCATTTTACTTTTACCAAAATAAGTGCAGCAATTCCTTAAGTTAATATTAAAACCAGAAATGAATAGTAATGTGCCAAAATTAATCATACAACCACTACCAGAAAATGGGCCTATGGGAACAGTTATTTTGGCAACGGTTTGTGAACCGTTGCCATAGACCAGATATAGTAACGGTTGCAACCGTTACAATAGAATTTGGGTGGTATCAGCACACTTTAGCCATCAAACAGTTACAATTGTGACAAAACCATTGCCATAGAGGTTTGTTTCGCAACAGATGTTTAAACCGTCCCAATAGACATATATATGGAAACGGTTTTTGGAAAAAAAATTCTATGGGAACAGGTATTCATTCCCCCTCGTTTTTTCCCTAAATTTTAGTGAGCCCGCCAACCTGACCTGTCATTTTTTATATTTTAATTAATTTTAATAAAGTAAATACAATAAACATTAACCCACCTCCAGTATAGTCATACAGTCGTCGATACAACCAAACTCTGATCCCCTCTCTCTTTTCTTTTTGCCTTGGATTCAAGAATTCATCTCCTAAATCCTCTCTTGGCCGAATTTCTTCCAAATCTTTCAGATTTACTTTGTCACTTTTACTCTCTCTATATCTATGCAATTACCTCTTCATTAGACCACAATAATCATCAAGCCCTAGAGTTCCCAATGCCGATAACGTGGTCGCCCTTCACCATTTTCTGTTGGTCTTTTCGGCACTTCTCTGAAGCTTCGCAGGTTACAAATCCAATGAACTCAAATACCCACTTCTTCAAGGACAGTTGCTAGACTTCCCAAAATCCCCAAATTCTAAATCATATTTGTGCTCGAATCAGAGAATCCAAAAATCACCATATGCCTGGTAATTTTCTCTCTTCTTTTGGTAATTTTTACTGTGTTTTTTAGTTCTTGGAAAAAAGGTTCTTAATTCATGCTTTAGTCTTTTGGGTTCTTTGCTTAATTCATGTTGTAGTCTTGGCAAAAAGGTTCTTAATTCAAACGTGTTTTATGTGTCCGATGTAGTCTTTTGGGTGTTCATTTTCCTAGGCTTTTGTTTGCTGCTAATAATGGAAAGCCCAGAAAACTTGGGTTTTAGTTTCTATCCTGATGGGAAATTCTGTAATGGATTCGAGCAAGTACTGAGTTGATATAGACAATTAGTTCCTCAGTTACGCCTTTTAGGACCAACATCGTTCGCTCCTATTATTGAAATGTCAATCAGTATTGTAGAGTGGAGTGGTGGCCAGTACCATGTTTTATTGATAATCGCGGATGGACAGGTTGGAAATGGAAATGTTACAAGAAATGCGCGTAACAGATTAAACCCTCAAGAGAAGAGAACAATTGAAGCAATTGTGAAAGCAAGTAAATACGCCTTGTCTATTGTTGTAGTTGGGGTTGGAGATGGACCGTGGGATATGATGAGGGAATTCGATGACAATATACCTGCTCAAGCCTTTGACAATTTCCTAGGCTTTTGTTTGTTGACAGAATAAAAAAGCATTCTGTTGAATTTGCCTCATATGAGCCAATAAAAACTTGGGTTCTAGAGACATTTATCTAAGCATGAAGCTTTAGTTCATCCACTAATTTCTATATTACATTGCTTTAACTTTTTATAATACTATATTCTAACAATTTTCGTCTTAATTTTATTGCAGGGAATTTTTCATACTGAGATTGATACTTGAAGCTTTTTTTTGCCCGCAAATTCTTGGTTTTTCTTAAGGCTGGATCTCGATCGCTGTAATAGTAATCTGGTTTGTTCTCCTTTCTCACTTTATTAACTGATTGAAAAGAAGATTTTGACTTGATCTGACTTGCAGATTAGATGTACTTTTAGTATAACAAGTGGTTAGAATTGAAAATTTGGCTATGGAGTTGAACGGACGATGCTTCAATTGTGATTTCCTTGTTTGCTTTGACTTGAATATGTCAAATATTTGTATTCCTTGTAATTTGTCAACGGCTAATGTAACAAAACTCATTTTTTGGTAGCTTCAAGTGATGTTAATTTAACAAACTTACTAATTTTGTACGTGTACTGGTCCCTATAATAATTTTGTAATGTTGGAAATAAATCAGTATTAACGCACTAGCAGATGTATGGAGCGAGATATAATTTGTGTGTAATCAGATTACAAAATATAATCAATTAACTAGGCTTATTTCCAAAGTGGCAGTTGTTTTTACTTAACTTGTAGTAAAAATAACAACGACTTACATCGAGTGATAGATTGATCAACAATGAAATGGACAAAGAAACTTTGCAACAATTCTCTTCTTAAATGTTTACTTGGAATGGACGTTTATTGGGATGGTTCTAACCGTTGCAATATTACATGGCTGATACTAGCACACTTTTTCTATAAAACCGTTGTCTTTAATTAGAAGGAACGTAATGGTTTTTATTGTTTAAACATGACTCTACACATTTTTTGAAAAGTATAATAACTTAATCACATCTTTCCTATTCATATTATAAGAGATGATTTTTAAGAAGTTAACTTTTAAAGGTCTTAAATTGTGACTTTATGAGTTTCACCCTTAAATGCAGTGGTCAATGTCAAATTAATATGCTTTTGGTTTATTTGGCTAATTTTGTTGATTTACTTTTATCGTATAGGATATTTATGGATAATGGTGATAAAAGTTGGATGAATCTCCTGAGATGGACGGATGAATATATCCGTGGAGTGAATGATTTTCTTGATAAGGCATTTAAATGAGCCGCCCAAGGAAATAAAATATTATGCCCTTGCAAAAAGTGCATGAATCGCTATTGGTATTATAGAAATGTGGTGGAGGATCATTTGGTTGTTCATGGATTTGTTGATGGTTATACCAAATTAGTTTTTCACGGGAAAGGATTTTCCTCGAGAAATACACCTCATCCAAGCAATGGTGATGAATGTTCTACCATGTGTGACGATATTGATGGACTACTTCATGATACATTTAGAAATATTGAGGGTCAGGCAGGGGATGAGGAAGGAGTTGGGGAAAGATTATCTAAAGATGCAAAGAAGTTTTTCAAATTGTTGGAGGAAGGAAAACAAGAGTTATATCCGGGGTGTGAAAATTTCAGTAAACTGAGTTTCACTATTCGATTGTACTTGC